GTTGTGTTTTTGTAGTTCAGACTCTCTGATCTGAAGTTTTCTTCTTCTTCTGAGGTTTTTCCCCAAGTTTCTCTGCATTCATACATCTTTCTAAATATTTCATATTTTCTTTTAACACTAATTTAAAAACTTTGACAAATATTGAATTTCTGACTCTGCCACACTCTTCCTTCCTTTTCTTTAAAGGTTTTTTTTTTATATAAAATCTTAAATGCTTATCCTGAAGGTTTCTGCCAAAGCACAGCAGGAAACAGGGATTTAAATTTATATTAAATATAAATTTAATATAAATTTAAATTTATATTTAATATAAATTTTAAATATAAATTTAAAATTATATTTAATTTTAACGTCACAATTTAATTTTAACGGCACAACGTTATGATGTAATCATCATAACGTTAAAAACTCAAAATATCCCTTCTGTTCAGTGAACTGTTACTATGACAAAATGAATTATCTCATAAAAACATAAAGCAGTTTTTGCTGAAAAAGGAAATATTTTCTAAACTCTTCATAAAAGTTTAAATTGGGCCATTATGTGTGTTTTATTATAAAATTATCTGTTGGTTCTGCATGCTTTATTAAAGTTTTGCAGGTTGTCCACGGTTTGCATCCAGATTTATTTAATAAAGTTAAATTTAATTAGTTTTTGCATCAATCGTCTGAATTTAACTGGAAAGAATTTGACTTTAAAATGTTTTTATTATCCCAGCAGATGCACTGAAAATGTTTCTTTGAATCAACAAATACTCTCATTTGGAACTAGTTTTGCTCAAAATGTAATTCTGAACTGAAGCTTCAGCAAAACTGTTAGCCGTAACAAATGAGAGTAACAAGTTTTTCAGTGTAATTAGTGCAACATCAGCATTAAAACAGCCAAAGTATTAAACTCCTCCAAATAATTTAATCATGAATATTTAATAATGACATGATGCTTTTGTTTCTCGCTGGTTTCCTCGTCTGAAATCAGACGTAACATTCAGGATCTTTTTTCACGGCAAATTCAACATTTCAAACAGGATTATCTGTTTATTTTTTTAATTTGATATTTTCTGTTTCGGGTTTTAACTAAATGAGCCATAAGAACGACGGGATGCAGCAAACCTTCAGATTCACAGGTATGTTTTAGTTGATGTATTAAAAACGTCACAAAAAACAATTTAAATGACCAGATTTCAAGTTGCTCATCTTTTTTATATTTCCAGTGGATTTAAATATATTTTAAAAGCTGAAGAAATTAAACCCTGTTGCTTTAAAAGCAGCACAGCGCTAACGGTTGGCCGAACCGCAACAGGCTGAACTCAACAGATGGATGGACGCAGGCTCTTGGCACCTCGTGTGTGTGTGTGTGTGTGTGTGTGTGTGTGTGTGTGTGTGTGTGTGTGTGTGTGTGTGTGTGTGTGTGAACCTCATTTATGACTGTATAAATGTACAGAGCTTTCTCTTCAGGGTGACTTCCTCCGATTATCTCCGTTTCCCCCCTTCAGCCTAAAGATAGAAATGAATAATTTCAGTTTGAGAAAATCTACCAGATTTAAACAGATTATGACAAAGATTTAAACAGATTATGAGGAATCTCACTGCAGAAAAAATTTGAATATGTTGAAGTTAGAATTTAACACAACTATTAGTGGCTTATAAAAATGTTTAAATCCCTTAGACTGGATTTATTTTGTCATTTTGAAACATTAGTTTTAATGTGATGCAGCAACACAAAGTAGTTCATATCGATGAAGTGAAAGTGAAAATGTGATCCTAATAATTAGTGTGTGACACTTTTGTAATCATCGTTTGTAAAGCAACTTTTTCTAAAAAATAAATAAAAAATGAAAAAGTACTTATTCTATTGGCAGATAAATTAAATTATCTGCCAATAATCTGGAACTGGAATTTTTTCATCATTATAAAGGAATTATTTCCTTAAAACTAGACTCTATATCGTACTAAAAAGTTTCTTTTAAGATAGTTTGTCTTATTTCCAGTTACTAAGATATTTACACTAGAAACTAGACCAAAAATACTTGGTAAGATGTTGTGTTTTTGCAGTGTATGTGGTAAGAAGTTGTGTTTTTGCAGTGTATATGGTAAGATGTTGTGTTTTTGCAGTGTATGTGGTAAGATGTTGTGTTTTTGCAGTGTATGTGGTAAGATGTTGTGTTTTTGCAGTGTATGAAGTGTTTTTATGGAGCTACTGCTAATTAAATGGACTCTGCGTGTTTGTTCGATGGGGTAAGTGATCCTCGGCCTGAAAACGTTTGCTAAACGCTGCTGCAGAACAACAGAAGAAGAAAGAGAAAGAAACAAGTGTTTGCTTTCAGCAGCAGCAGCAGGTCTTCACAGGTTGTGACATTTCCAACTTTTCCAACGCCTCCATTAGCATTGTGATGGCTCTGCAGGCTGAACTTCAGGGGAGGAGGCGGGACAAAGAGCAGCCAAAGGTTTCAGCGTGAATCTGAAGGTCATGCAGCAGTGGGAGTCAGTTCAGGTCGAGGTGTGTTATTCTTTTCGCCACTCTCTCCTGAAAGGTCAATCAGCGGTGAGTATAGACTCAGAAAGTCTGAGCAGGCGGAAAATAAACACGTTTTTTTAATGTGTCCCTGAAGGACTCGCTGCGTGCTCGTTCCTGTTCTCCCTGGCAGACGAAGCTCTTGGCGTCTCTTCATGCCTGCCAGTGGCGGCTGCTGCAGCACCGAGCGGCGGCTGCTGCAGCACCGAACGGTATCAGGCTGCAGAAAAGTCAGAGTCAGAAAAACACGATTTACATTGTGGCTGATAAACCTAAAAAAAAGCTTAAATCAGGGAGATAAAGATGGGATTTTCTAGTTAGTCTCAGATGGGTAGTTACTGGTTACATTTACAGTATTTTTCCGACGATAAGCCGCTACATTTTCCCCACACTTTGAACCATGCGGCTTGTAGCCCGGTGCGGCTTTTCTGTGCATTTTTCTTCAGCCACCAGGGGGCTCTCTAGCAGGAAATGACTCACTGGAAGTCAAAATTGGAAATCGAAGAAGAACGCGCTAATTTTCACTTAGAACAAGCACATGCTAGCAGCAGACACGACGGAGACATTTCTTCAAACTCATATAATGCAGCTTTTAAGCTGAAGGTTATCGATCTGGTAGTCCAGGAGGGAAATGGAGCCGATGTACATAAACTCGGCTTGAACGAATCCACAGTTCGGCTTTGGAGACGGAGAGCTGCGTCCTGAATAGCAGAGTCAGTGGAAAACCGAGAGCAGCGGAGAAACCAGCGGCTTTTAGCCTGGTGCGGCTTATATATATGTACGTTTCCAGTTTTTTTAAAAACTTTGTGGGTGTGGCTTATAGCGAGATCCGGAAAATACGGTACTCAATAACATTTACTTGAGTAAGTTTTTTTAAAAATATAATTTTAGGAGTATTTTTACCTGAGTGAAATCTCTGGATTTTCAAACCTCTGAATGAAAAAGATGTTTTAACCAAAAATCCACCAGAAACACCTGCAGACAGAAACTGCAGTGGTGCTTCTGTTACTTTAGTGCATTTCTACTTCATTCACCTCTGACATGTGAGGAAGCGATTTTCAGGATATTCAGGAAGTGAAGGATTGCATAAGAAAGCTACATTTCTTTACATTTTTTATTCATTTTGAAAACTTTCAGTCTGAATTCATCATTCTCTCTCGTTGTTGTGGGATTGTTTTTGTGGAAGAAATGCCTCATGAGAATCAAACTTTTTTAAAGACATTGAATTTATAAAACTGAATTTTTATCCTGTGTGGATATAAATATGATTTTTTTTATTATTTAAATTTTCCAGAAAAAATGTTTCCTGCAACAATTTGCCAACAAGCAGCAGCAGCGGGTTGGACGGGGTCAGAGGTGAACTGCAGATTATTTCATTTATAGCTTAAGAAAAATGTTTTAAGTAAAATAATCTGCCAGACAAACTAGAACTTTTCCATCAACATTGAAGAATTACTGACTTAAAATGAGCTCCTATATCTTGCTGAACTATTGCTTCAAGTTATTTTGTCTTATTTTCAATGCACTCATATTTTTGCACTTGAAACTATAAAATACTTGGTAGGATTTTGAGTTTTTGCAGTGTAACAAAACTTTTCCCACAAAAAACAAAACCAGAAAATCTGTCTCATCTGAAACTGCTTTTCTGATCTTTGTGTTGATAAACCATCTAATCTCACTGATTAGTTTTCAGCGTCTCATTAACTTTGCATGTGATCATCAGATCAACACCCTTTTGGTTTCTAGGTGTTTATTTCAAACAAAAAAAGTAAAAACAGGGTAAAAATTAAATAAAAATGCCCACTGATGTGATTTTACATAATTTGTTTGAAAATGAAGAAGGTAGAAGATACAGAATCATCAACCAGATAAACTATTAAATGATTTAAATTATTCACACATTTATGAGATTGAACCTGTGTGCACAGAGATTCAGCCAAAACATGGAGTGATTAATGCATCTGACATTTTCCTTTAGGCTTGTCACAATCAGCAATAAATCAATTAATCAATTAATCGCATGACAATTTGTATGATTTATTGTTTCTGTCTTTCTGCCAAAAACTGGAGGATGAAAGTCTTCAGTCTGGTTCTGAATTAGCTCTTTTTTTAAGTTAATTTCGTCTACAGAGACTTTATTTGTTGTTTTGTTTATTTTAGATATTTAAAATGCCTTCCATTTCCAGAGTTTAAAGTTTATCGAATTTTGAGAATGTGTTCTTGTTAAATTACTTGAAAATGGTCTCAAAACATCATTGTTATTGCGATAACTTCTGGGATGATTTATCGTCCAGAAAAATGTCCTTGTTTCCATATGTGGTCATGAACAGGAGAACGGATGTTTAGATCTGTTTGTAAAATGTTTCTCTTGTTGAGTTGCTGCTTCAGCTGATGGTTCTACCAGCTACCCAGCAAAAAAACACAACAAAAACAATGTTTGTTCTTTAAATGTGTCTTTTATTTTTAACTTTCCTGCTCGGCTCTGTTGCAGTTTGACATGCAGCGGATCACCCTGGAGGAGCTGAAACACATCCTGTTCTATGCTTTCCGCGATCACCTGACCATGAAGGACATTGAGAACATCATCATCAACGAGGAAGAAAGCCTGAAGGAAAACTCCGGGAACTGTCAGACGGAGTTTGAGGGAGGTGAGTGAAAGTCCCTGGGCTAATTTCACACGCAAGCACTTTAGGCACATGGATGTGTCACAGGCAGGCGCTGGGCCTGTGTGGGCAGAGAGAGGGAGGAACTTATCCCGGCTGTCAGAAAGGATTTAAGCTTTCTCATCAACATCTCCAGCCAACAGAGTCCCAGCACACCTGCTGATTTATTGATTTGGGGCGTTTGTGAGGACGAGTGTCAGCTGGTCAGCTGTTCAGCCGTGGCTCGCATGAAATATGCATGACTCCTCTCTGCACCAACAGCCATCCAAAATTTATGGATGTGAGCGCAGCAGAGGGTATTCTAGGACTCTCTCTTTTTCTCTCCATTAAAACAGCGAGTGTCATTGTTTCTTCTAAGCTAATTATCATTCAGCTTTTTGAAATGCCAGCTTTCGATTCAGATCCAGTGACTCAGCCTCCACAGTCATTTCTGTTCAGGGTCTTCATGCATTTTAAAAAACAACAACTTATAAATATTAGCTGCAGAAGAAAAGATATTTCAGGAAATGTGTTTTGATGTGCCAACTTTTAATCTCAAAGGATGAACAGTAGCAGTTTGTTACTTTGTGGTACAAAGACGATCAATATCCACAGTAAAATGAGACAAAGAAAAAGCATTTTACTGCAAATATCTGTAGTTTTAAAATACAGATTATTGTAATTATAGTTTTCTTAATAAACACAATTCAGTTGAAACAAACAGTTCTTGGCATCTGTAAAAATAAACTCTGCTCAGTGTTCATTAGCGTCGATGCAAACAGGAGTTCAACCAGTTGAAACATCTGATAGAGCTTATAAAAACAGTTGCATATTCAGTTGAACACTGGAAACACACAAAATCTCACCAAGTACTTTTGTTTAGTTTTCAGTGTAAATATCTTAGCACACTTGAAAAAAGACAAAACTAACTTAGAAGTAACTTGTCAGGAAGATGTAGAAGCTGGTTTTCAGTAAATCATTTCTTAATTTTGATGAGAAAATTCCACTGGTAGAATGTTCCGCCGTTGCCTAGCAACACCAGCCACGCCCAGCCCGTTGCCTAGCAACTCAGTTCTATTTCAACTGGCAGATTAATTCACTTACACCATGACTGTTTTACCATGTTATGAGTTAAATAATCTGCCAATGGAACAAATCATTTGTCATCAATAATAAGGAATTATTTAAAACAAACTAATATATCCGAAAAATAACTTCTAAGGTAGTTTTTTCTTATTTAAAGTGTACTAAGATGTTTGCACTAGAAACTAGGCTAAAAATACTTGGTTAAATTTTGTGTTTTTGCAGTGAAAATAGTGAAATGAATCTAGTTCTGTGCACCACTAAAAAACATTAAAAATAAAAAACAGATTCTCTATGGGGAGATGGTGATAGTCGTTAGATTTAAGAGACTCATCAGTTTTATTGCTTTTGTGGTAATTTTATATTTTTAAAAATGTTTTGTTCTTCTTAACAAGCAGTTGGTTCTGTGTTATATTGTTAAAAATAATAATTTCCTGAAATTTCTCTCAGACTGCTAAATGGATCATTGGCTTGAAAACCAAACCAGACCTTTGGAAATCTAAAACATGAACTTACATTTGAATAAATTATTAATTATTTTTTGACTTTTCCAAACTGAAATTATGCAAACATTCTTTTGCCATTAAAGTTTAACTAAAACATTAGCATAAAAACCTTAAAGCCGAAACACTAGTGTGCTTTTCTCTGATGTGACCCAGAAATCTGTGCTAGCACTTTAGCCCAAATGTTTATGCTATTCAGTAACTTACAAACCTTTGAATTAAAACTTTGTTGTGTGTGAATAAGAATACCATTCACTTATGACTTTAAGTTTTTCAGATAATATAAATTGTAATTTTTAAACCTTAAAGCATTAGCATTAGCATAATATTCTTATATGTAACTTAGAAAGTCATGCTAACATTTTTAAAAAGGCTGTATGCTAAAGTTAGCTAGCACCTTTTAGTCGAAAATGTTTCTCAGTGTTTTCACGCAGAAAATAAATTCAAGGAAAATGATAACATGAAATCTTATGCATGTGCTAATTATGTTCATGTCTGACATTTAGCTTTGGATTTTAAACATTATTTTAAAAACTACACCAGTCACTCTAAAGTTAATGTTGTCAAACTTTAAAACTTTTTTGGCGGAAACCAACTGACCAAAATAATTTTCTTAATTATTTGACAGTTCTGAAATGTCACTCTTTGATGAAAATATATGAGGTCATTCAGTGTGTGTTCACTGTGATTGATGTGCTGTTCGCTCTGAAAGCATATTAGGAAAATACAGCTTTCTGTCCGGCGTCCATCACAGCATCACTTCATTAATAACATGAAACTGGATGGTAAAAACCGCTGAGTCAGAACGTCACCAGTTCCTGCATCTCTAACAGGAAAATAGATGATCAAGATCACAACACACATTATTACGCTGCAGGTCAGGGATGTCAAACATTTTCATTTGGGTCAGTTTAAAATCTTAAATGTATTGATTAAACCCCTTCAAAACTGTTAAAATATTAATAATAGCTGTCTATATGTCTTAAAATCAAATAATGTTGAACATCTTTCCTCATAGATCAGCTCCTCCAGGACTTTGTGATTGTTTTTTGTGTTTATTTGCAATAAAAATCAGTATTTCCACTTTGCATGACAGCAAATGTGACATTTCGTTACTCGCCACATCGATCACGGATTATAGCTTCGCATCAGGTGAGGCTGAGGCAGCAGTGTAAAAGTAAAGACATGCCGCCACCTGCAGGTGGGAGTTAGCATCACTTAACTGCAGCACATTTACAACACATTCACAGTTATAAATGATGGATGTGATTTGGCATCTGGAGCTAAAAGGGCCACATAAGAAACTACAGCGGGCCGGATTTGGCCCGCGAACCATGAGTTTGACACATGGTTTAAGGTGTCAGCTTTTCCAGTGAAATTCGAGTCTTTTGCTTTTCATTTATGATAATCTATGTTTCATTTTTAGAGGAAAAATGGACAATAAGTCTCTGTAACCTGCATGTGTTTCTTGACGGGTTTCACCAGATCAACTCCAGAGTAGCTGCAGCACAATTTCACTCAAGTAAAAGTGAAAGTATCTGTCCAAGAAATGACTCAAGTAAGAGTAAAACGTATTTGGTAAAAAGTGCTGAGTAACTGATCAAATTATCAATCATTTAATATTTAAAAATTACATCATCAGATGGTTCAAATTATAAAGTTAAGTGGAAATTTTGGTATTTTAAGGACCAAAATGACAATAAAATTCATAGAAGTAACAAAAAATGACAAAATCAGGCAAAAAAAAAAAAAATCTGTTTCTTTCAATAAAAAAACTTCAGAGACTTTAACAGAAACTGCAGGTGTGTTTCTGAGTCTGGTGAGTTTTGGTTAAAACATGTTTATTTTTCATTCAGAGGGAAGAAAATCCAGAAATTTTAATCAAGTGAGAGAAGAAATACTTCATAATAAAATCACTCAAAGTACAGCGTAGTAAAAATACTCCTAAAAATACATTTTTTTTTTTTTTTTTTTCAAAGAAAGTTACTCCAGTAAATGTAATTGAGTGGATGTAACCAGTCGGTACCCGACTCGGACCAGCGCTGGTGAGTGAGGTCCAGATCTCACCAGCGCCTCATCGGATCCATTAAACGGCTGCAGGACGAAAACATGAAGCTTCATGATGATGGACGGCCGCCGCAGACAGAACCGTCCATCGGGTCCATCAGAACCACCTGGCGCTCACAAACACCAAAATGTGCTCAGTCAGGGAGGAATCAATGCCTTCTGTCACAAGGCGGTTCTTCCTCATCCCGATCCATCACGCTCCTCACCGCTTATTACATCAGCCGGCTGATATATGACGAAGCAGAAAAGGAAGTTTGATTTCCCCGCGGCTTCTCCTTGTTCAGCAATCGATACGGTGCTGCTCTGAAAACACCAGTACAGGGAATTTAACTGGTCCACTGAAACCCACCAGCCACTGATTCATAGCTGAACAAATTGTTCTGATGGCATAAAGCAGAGGAAACATGCTGGGCAGCAGATGTCCAGTCAAAGCCCGCCACTTCCAGTCGGCCCCGTTGCCTCGAGGTGATTTAATGATTTATAGATTCAGTTTCTGTTTTACAGTGAAGGACATGCTAATACCTGCTCATGTTTTAGGAAGGACAGAAACCAGTAACAGGTCATTACTGGTGACCCATTACTCTTATTGAAGAGGTTAGGATACGTCTATGGTCTTACAGCAGGTGTCAAACTCGAGGCCCGTGGGCCAAATCCGGCCCACTGAAGCTTTTTATGTGGCCCTCTAGTGTGCTTAAATATTATGTCATCAATCAAATTGATGCAGGTTTTGTCTATTTACTGCCAATTCATATCAGTCAGTCCCTCCAGTTTCTTCATAGTTATTGTGGAAATTCACACAAAATCAACAAAGTGTTTTATGCTAATAATTGGGAGTTTATTGCAGATTTTTCTCAAAAATTGTCAAAAGCTTTACTTGTGCTAAACAGCAGCTTCAGTCTTAACTGTTGTCATATTATAGTCCATGATCTATACAGCAAGTAATAAAACATCATGTTTACCGTCATAAATAAGCTCAAATATTTCCAAATTAGTTCCACAAACTCTTTGATTTCTATAGCAAAAAAATCACAAAACGAATCACGAAATCCTGGAGGAACTGAAAAGATGTTAAGTAATAATTTTAAGGATTAATTTTATGATAGCAGTTTGTGAACAGGTTTAATCAATACATTTGGCCTTTTAAGAGGATTTATGGTTTTGATTTGGCCCAAAATGAAAACGAGGCTGACATCCCTGGTCTATACAAAACAAAATAATTCTTAGATAAGAAGATTTTAGCCAGTTCAGCTCTGCTTATTCCCATCAAATAAGCAGAACTGAGCTGTTTTGGAGCCTCCTGTCTCTTTAAATCCCAATAAGCTGCTGCTGGCCACGCCCTCAACTCAAAGTTTACACTGTGAAAATGGCTGCAACTGACACGCATTTTTAGCCCCTTAGAAAAGCAGAAGCAGAGCCTCCTGCACAACCAGTAAGAATGCAGCAAATGGTTTCTGGATGGTAAGTCAGCAACAAAATTCTTGATTTTCCAGCAGCCATTATGCAGCTGAAATATGCTGGAACTCTGGTTGGGTTGCTAGGTGACGAAAAGAGTTCCGTTGGGGTTGTTAGGTGACGGTGCAGTGCCCATCGAATGAGACTTAACAACTGAGAGAATTTTGAAACGGCTCGTTTTCCAGACACCAAAAAAACATGAACTCGATTTTTTATGCTTGGGTTGTTTTTGGAGGTAGTAGAAACAAAAACATGGAAAATATGAACCTTGCGTAATGCGTCCCGTTTAATTTTGGCTGCTTGTAGGACATCTGCCGGCCGACAGAAGGTCCAGGTAATTGGACTGAGAGCTAATGTCCAGAACAGAAATCTCCCTCCGTCATTAATGTCCAGCAGCTCAACATCTGTTCAGTCTAGTAGCAACAGATTGAGCTCAGTTTGGCTTCCTGCTAAACGCAGTTAGGTTACTGGTTCTGTTGTAGAGTGCAGTTTTTGTCTCTTCAATGAAACTTTTTATCTAGAGCTTTTTTCATGCAGTCAAATGTAACGTAAAGCATATACAGAGGTGAAAACAGAAGAACTGACGTAAAACTGCTGAAATTATAAGATGCACATCAGAAATGGTCCAACCAGGTAGCCCTGTTGCAGTGTTGAAAACATATTTATACCACTTAAACGTTTTGCAATTTTTGACAAGTTACAAACGGAAACTTAAGTAACTCCAGGTTGGTAAAAGATGATGGAAAATGCAGAAAAACAGATAAAAACCCAGAAATGTGTTTAATTCTGCAAAGAAATGTCCCTGAAAATGAAGCATTTCTTGATTTTAATTGGAAAATTTACAATGACAGTTTATTGTTGTCAGATTTTAAACAATAAATATTTACATTTTGTAAAATTGTAGGAAAATGGTGGGAAAATAACTGGGAATTATAAAAGAGATTAAGTATTTTAAGGCTCAATCTCCACTAGCTTGGATATTTAGCACAGCGTTTTAAAATTGGTTGTTTTAAAGTTATTTGTAGAAATATCAGCTGGCAGTGGGAGTCCCTAAAAATCTCAAATGTGAGCTGAAAAGTTTAGTAAAAGCTTGTTGAACCGTCAAAGGAAACTTGAATCCTTATTTTGCCTGAGCCATGCTCAGGATCTTCTTCTTTTGGCTTTTTATGTGGATGTTGCTCTTTACTGCCTCCTGCTGGTGAAGTGAAGGCATTGCAAGTCTTTTTCTGTTGCTCATGTTTCAAATCCAGAAGGAAAAAAACTCCCAGTCTTTCACAGCAACCTGTCACATTATGTTTTATGCCATGTGGATGTGTTGAGTGATGTCACTCAGGCCAAACCAGCCGACTAACGATGTCCAGAAACGGTTCGTCTCTGGGTCAGACGTTGGTATCTTCAGCAGCCAGGAAGCATTTTGATGACTGCAGCTGCTCTTCGATTAAGATGTAAAAATAGCGTGAGTGAGAGCAGAGCGACCGCGGGTCACCGACCCGGCTCGCATGATTACTGTCGGCTGGTGAAATCATTTCACTTCAGTCGTCTGAGAAGAAGAGCAGAACGACATGCTGGTGCCGGAGGAGGAGAGAAACAGAAACATGGAGGAAAACACGGAGAGGAAAACATGGAGAGGCAAACATGGAGAGGAAAACATGGAGAGAAAAACATGGAGAGGAAAACATGGAGAGGAAAACATGGAGAGAAAAACATGGAGAGGAAAACATGGAGGAAAACATGGAGGAAAACATGGAGAGAAAAACATGGAGAGGAAAACATGGAGAGAAAAACATGGAGAGGAAAACATGGAGGAAAACATGGAGGAAAACATGGAGAGGAGAGGAAAACATGGAGAGGAAAACATGGAGAGGAAAACATGGAGGAAAACATGGAGGAAAACATGGAGAGGAGAGGAAAACATGGAGAGGAAAACATGGAGAGAAAAACATGGAGAGAAACACGAAGGGAGAATCAGAAAGACATTATTCAACCAATAAATGTTCAAGTTTTATTTATTAAGTGTATTATTATTGATATGTAGCAATAGTTATTGCTACATATCAATACATATCAATAATATGTAGCAATGTAACATAAACAATGTAATACTGAGTTATTACATTATATATTTAATAATGAAAACATTACCAGTGGGATTATAATCATTGATATTATTACTATTTTGTATTTTTTTTCATTTTCATTTAAATTTTAAATCTATCATCACTGTTACTAGTAGTAGTAAGTATGACATTATTTCTATATCAAATAATGCAGACATTATCAATGGTATAATAATTTATTTAGTTATTTTTATTGCTCTGTTGCAAACATTTCTATTTCATATAATCATAATTAACTTTTTTCCATTCATGGTTGTGAGCGTCGTAATATTTTAAAACTGGACATGACAGAATTAGTTCCTGTCGCTTTAAGTTTCCCGTTCTGCTGCCGGTTCCAGCCTCTTTGGGTTTATGAGCATTTGGACCTTTATGGTCGTTTTTGGCTTCTGCAGAGAAGCCGGTCTGTTCCCAGGAACTGAGCCACTTACCTTACGGTCCGACTCTGCTGGTCACCTTCCAGCTTCCCGCCGTTCATTCAGATGAGACGTTAAATCTGCCCGGCAACAACAACAACGATGATCTCACACTTCAGGCTCATTCCTGTCGCTCCAAACTGCAGCGGAAAATCAGACACGGAACCGACGAGGGTCAAACCTCAGAGGATTTTACTATCAAGGTTTCAGCAACTAGCATAAACTAATAATAACAGGAACATCGATTAAATTTAATCTATTTAGTCTTATGATTATGAAGAAATTTGAGAAAATGCAATGTTTTTGGCTGTTTCAATGTTTTACGTTACATTATATTTGGAGGTTGCAAGGTTGTTCGCATAAATACACTGCAAAAACACAAAAGTATTTTTGGTGTTGTTTCTAGAACAAATATCCTAGACAAAACTAATTTACAAAGTAACTTTTTAACAAGATATTAGAGCTTGTTTTATGTAAATAATCCTTAATATTGATGAGAAAATACTAGTTCCACTGGCAGATTATTTTAAATGTCTTGTTATAAGTGAAATAATCTGAACTTTTTCATCTTTGTTAAACATTGTTTACTTAAAACAAGCTTCTATATCTTACTGACAAGTTACTTGAAGGTTTGGTTTGTCTTATTTCATATGCAATAACATGTTTGCATTAGAAACTAGACCATTTGTGTTGTTGCAGTGGGAGCTCCAGCACATTTGGTCAGCTGGTTGTGCCGCTGTACAATGGCTGCTGGAAAAGAAACGTGTTTTGTCGTTGACTTACTGCCTAGAAAGCGGTTAATCCATTCTTGTTGGTTGTGCAGGAGGCTCCACTTCTGCTTTTCTAAGATGTACAGTTGTAAAATTGAGCATCTGTTTTTTACTTGAGTGTAAAGGTTGAGTTGGGGGCGTGGCCAGATCCTTTAACTTACTACAAAGTTAGTTTTGTCTTATTTCAGGTGTACTAAGATATTTATACTACAAACTAGACCAAAAATACTTGGTAACATTTTCTATTTTTGCAGTGCATGTAGACAGGAAAACATTTTTACTCTATTTTGATTTAGAAAGTGTGTGTACTTTAATGCATAGAAACACCGGAGTTGTGAATAAACTCTTGCAGATTTGCTTTGTTCTACGTTTGTCCTCATTGTTCCTGTCAGATAAACTAAATTAAATGTGAAGCATTTTGCCGGTTGCCGTTCGAACTTGACTGAATCCGTCTCTACGCAGACGATCGCGTGTTTTTGTGGACTCTTATTTTACCGTCTTTTCTCTTCGTCTCGTTCCAGTTCACCCGTCGAAGAAGAACCGCCAGACGTGCGTGAGGAAGAGCCTCATCTGCGCTTTCGCCATGGCCTTCATCATCAGCGTCATGCTCATCGCGGCCAATCAGATGCTGAGAAACGGCATGGAGTAGCCGGGTGGCGCCAGCCTGCATGTGCATGCCGGGTGGGTGAAGCCGTGTCGCTGTAGGCAGGAAACAGAACCACAAGGCGCAGCCAGGAAAAAACACGCTTTGTTTTTCATTTCAACGCCTCCAGCTGACCCAAACCAACCCGCCATGAAGCCAGCACGACGAGCCGCCGGGACTCCTCCCCCTTTACTCCGACAGGGACTGTAAGGGCTGACATCACATCCGCTGTCGTCTCTGTTTCCCTGATGCAATAATTCAAACCGAACATTTAGAAACGAGTGCAGGAGTTGAGATCCGCTCCAGACGGGAGGCGGGCCTGGCGCCCAGCAGGAGGCTGATGAGCTGCGGAGGGACGAGCGCCGCCGAAGCACACCAACATGGCCGCCTGGTTCCTGCTGGGCCGCCGTCCTTCAGCTCTGATTAACTGCTGACTCTGTGGGCCGGCGTGAGGAAACGCTGAGAGATGTTTCTGAATGAGAGCGGATTGTTTCCCCTGCTGGACGCCGGTCAGAACCCGACCGCTAACAGTGACGTTTTCAGAGAGAGAGCTGATCTGAAACCATCGCTTCACCTGAGTTAGATGCAAAATGTTTGTATCTAAACATGTAAATCATCGATTCAATCGAGACGAATCCGTTTTGTTTCGACATTTTCTTCAGAATAAGTAGCAAATAATCAGAATCAGAGATTTGAATTGTTAAAAAGCTGCTGGATTTACTTACATCTCATCACAACTAATTAAGCTGGAGGTCTTTGATTCCATCTGATCTAAAATGTCACTGCAGGTTAATTAGTTATTTATTTATGTTTTCAGAGTTTTCATCCTCTTTTCACTTCAAAAACACAAAATCTTACCAAATATTTTTGATTTAGTTTCTACTACAAACATCTTAAATAAGACAAACTGTTACAAGCAGCTTTTTAGTTAGAGATGGAGGTTTGTTGTAAACAAATAATTCCTCAATATTTTGAAAATTTACTAGGTTCATTGACAGAAAACAACTTATAACAAAAATATAAATGAAATAATCTGGGATTAAAACTAGTTTCATCAATATTAAGAAACTGTAGACTTAAAACAAATCTCTATTTCTTGCTAAAAATTACTTGTATAATTGTTTTGTCTTATTTCAGGTGTAATAAGACATTTCCAGTAGAAACTAAACCAAAAAACTTTGTAAAATTTTTTGTGTTTTTTTTTTTTTTTTTTGTCTTTCACTTTGTTGAGGTTTGGACTTGGACTAGGCTGTCTGTCTGTGTTTTGTTTCATTGTCCTGTTTGGACTGAGCCCAGATCACCACCCGGCCCCCACCGTGCCGATTTCAGCTGTTTGTCTTGTTTCAGTTTGGGGATTCTGACCAACGTCTCACTTCTGGACGGTTTGTGATGCAGCTTTAAGTTGCGCTGCCATGTCCTTTAAAATAGTCGAACCTCTGCTGATCAAACCTGGTTTGCTCTGTCGTTTCTTAACGAGGTTCATGTAACGTCTAACATGCCGACTCAGGGCTGTAGAGTCTGACAACAAGCGCTCACGTTTTTCTAATCTCTCTGTCAATTCGCTTGAACGTCGACTCCTGGGAAAATTAGCGGCTGTCAGAAATGTTTTCCACTTGTGTATAATTTATGACTTCAAATTTCTCTTCTTTACTCCAGAGAAGCAAAACATCAACTTTCCTCTGCTTTTGCTGAAACAACAGGGGTGCACTTAGTTTTTCTCATAACTGTTTATTTTCATTTCAAGCTGTTGATACTTTTCATATCAGGGTTTCCAATCAGTTTTTTCTGTTCTTGCAGCATAAAAATATTACAGTGATGTTTTAGGACTGTCGTAGAGAGAAAAGAGGAGGAATTTTAAAAAACTCAGAAACTTCTGAGAGAAAAATTTAAATTTCTGAGTTTGAAAAGTTGAAAATCTACAAAAAGAACTTTGAAATTTTTATTTTAATCTCAGAAAATTTCTAGAGAAAACATGAAAAATATCTGAGTTTCAAAAATTCTGTAATTTTTTTCTAGAAAAATTACAGAAATTTTGAGATTAGATTTTTCTAGACAGAACTTAGAAATTTCAGAGTTTGAAAAGTCAAAAATGTGCCTGGAAAAAATGAGATCAGACCCAGAAATTATCTAAAAAATATATAAAAATTTCTGAGTTTCAAAAGTTGAACCGACTTTTCAAGTGTCATTTTTTAAAACTTTTTTATTTATTTATTTTTACTTTTTCAAGTTTTTCTTGAAAACTCAGAGACTGCCAATTTAGATTAATCTAAAAATTTCTGCTTTTTTTCAAGCAAATGTCCAACATGTCGAACTAAAAAAAAACTTGTGATTTCTAGAAAATTTCTGATAAAAATTTCTGAGTTTTCTTCCAAATTCTTGACTTTCCAAACTCAGGAACTTTCATGTTTTCTTCTGTAAAATTTTCTGACATTAAACATTTCAGTTTTTTTTTTTTTTTTTTTGCAAATTTCCGATTTGTCAAAATAAGAAAATTCCTTGTTTTCTAGAATATTTTTTAGATTAATCTGAAATTTTATGAGTTTATTCTTGGAAAGTTTCAATATTTCAAACTCAGAAATTAGTTTTTCTGGACATTTTTTTTGAGTTTTTTGGCGGAATGTTGCCCTTTCTTCTGTCTAAAATGGCGCCGTGGTAAAACACGTCTGAACTCGCCGTAGCTTCCGGTGACTCGCAGTTCACTGATTCGGCTCTGAACTCCTGCACTGCCTCTCATTTAAACTCTTAAAGGGCCAGCAGCCCCTCACTAACTGCATGTGATCAAGTCTGTGTCTTGTGTAAATATTGCAACCTCCGTCAAAAGTGTGTGTCCCGTGTGTGTTTCGATGTTTCTGTGTGTGTGTGCATGACTGTCGGTGCTCTCCGCTCTCCGGGGCGTTCAGAGTCCTGAAACATCCGGGGCGCTGACGTCCTTCCGGTTCCCTCTGAACCCTCCATCCAAAGCCATAAACTCTGCGGAAACAAACCGGACATCTAAATGTCGTCTGTTCCTGTTTTCACACGGAAACACGAGATGTAACGGGCATTTTTAGACAGAAATTTGATTTAATTAGTTTATTTTTTCACTTGTTATCCACTCCGACTGAAGGAAAAGTTGGTTTGTTAGTTTGTGTTATAGTGCCATCTAGCGGCGACGTCTCTTCACAGTAACTTCTGTATTTTTCACATTTTAAGCAGAAAACTGATGCTAAATGTTAAAATGTCATGTAAAATGTACAGGTTGACTGCATCTCTACCAGCAGCGCGGGGAGAGAAGCTTTTATTTAAACTTGATATTTATTGGGATAAATTTCTTGCCTGTGGCAGAAAAATTGATTTTGAACCTGTAAAAGGTTTAATTTATCTACCTTTGGGACTCATTGAGCTCCAGTGTAGTCTCAAAAACCTGCAAACGTGTTTTATAAATATTTTATTTAGTTTTATTGCATTTGGTTTGAAGAATTAAATCTGCAGAATGGTTGCATGTCTCCATCACTGAGTTACTCTGCAGTAGCATGATGGATAATTCCCACTTTATTCTCACATGTAATTTTGTAAATATTTACCTGGACAGTATATCTAGACAAGCACATACTGTACTTAATGCACGTGCAATATTTACTTAGACTAGACTTTCAGTCGTACTATTTATTAGAGGCATAATAATTATAATCTTGTAAATATGGAAATCTGTATAAACGCGAAACAAATAATTGTTGCAATAAAAACATTTTTTAAAGTGTGTGTTTTTCCATCTTATTTTTCTAGCAGATTTTCTATAAAAACATGCAGAGCCCTGATCCATCATTTAGTTATAAAACTATAAAAGTTTTGAAAGATGACTTCTTGGAAAAATATTTTACATTTTTATAAACATCACAGTAATTGTTCAGTGTTTTCCTGTAGCATTTTAACTCCGCTAAGTTAAATTAGATGAATAAAAAACATATATTCCTTCAGTTTCATTCAGATTTGCAGTTTTCACTCTGTCCTCATGGGGGCGACATTCCAGTTTGTAAACTGTTTACTGACAAGAGAAGAAGAAGAAAGACGAAAAGTTTTTTGTGTGAATGACAGAAATGAATAACATATCAATTTAGAGTTTTTTTTTCAAAACAGGTTAATTTATTAAATTATAAATAAAATATTGTGTTAACAGGTTTTATTTTTTTAATTTGTAGTTAATTGAAGTATAAAATTGTTTAAACCACATGATTAGAACAAACAGTTAAAAATAGTTTTCTTAATGTGCTTCTGTTTACAAAATAAAAAAAAAATCAAAGTTAAAATATTAAAAATCACACTTTAAAAAATGGCACTTTAGATAAAAATGTTCGGATAAATTAGTTACACTTAATTTTTTTTATTTTATTTTTTTACACTTTCCATATAATCAATACTTTTCTAGATTTCTTTGTTGGTTTCTGTAGCATCTTTCAAGTATAACTTCAAATATTCAGTTTAATTAACAGTAAAGTTGAAACAAGTAAATTTTAGTGAAGCAAAAATATATTTTGATCTAAACTGGAGACGTTTATTTTCTGTTTGAGCAGCAGGATGTTCATGTTTGGAAAGTAATCAAAATTCAGAGTAAAACATATTTCTGTTTCTGATATTTAAACCTTAAAGTTGTAGAGTTTTGTTTTGGTTTCTCCTCCTTCCCTATTTTCTTTCCAGGCGAACAGATTTTCTTTCATGTGTTTTGAAAGAAAGACTTTCTGAATTACTTTTTCTCTCGTTTTCATACCTGATAATTTTCAGAACAATCTTTGATTCTTCTTGGTTTAAACTAATTAAAATGGCTGCAGGAGTTGTTAAGCAATTTAAATGTCTCAAAATATCTATTTCAATTCTGATACAAACCTGTTATTACTTCACTATTAGTTCCCTATTGTTTGGTTGATTTGGTAAAAACATAAAATAAGAACAATAAGACAGTTTAACAAACAGAAACATGAATTAATCACAGACACAGGAGTTTAGTAATTAATGAACTCTCCCATCTCTTGGCATAGCCGGCACAACAGAGAAAGCAGCTAAAGATAAACTCTTAAAATGTCAAAAAAAAAGGAGCAATAATGCTTTAATTCTGTAGGAACAAAACATCAGAAAATAACAGGAGGTTCATGATGTTCCGCTTATTAACTTATTTATTTACTTATTTATTCATGCATTTTTTTAATTTCGGGTTGAAATCTCTTCACAGCTCAGTTAAATGTGAAACCCACAGTGTAACATATTTGACCACCAGGGGGAGCTGTCAGACTCCGAGGTGAGGGAGCTGCTGCGTTTAGCAACGTTTTTATTATAGAATAATTTAAGTCCATTTTGTAAAGGGGGTATATGTTTCTTAAAAGATAATTTGATAATTTCACTGTAATATAAAACCTGATGAGCTTAAAGGAAAATGAAGTGGATTTAAACGAGTGTTGTGGTTTGTTTTCCTGCCTGATAGTTTTGGTCATAACATTAAGACAAATTGTCTTTTCCTCTTTATTCTACTGGTGCTTTTGTTTTCATCTCAGGTTGGAGATTTAAAATGATTGTCATTATTCTGCTCTTTATGTTGGAGAAAGCCTCACAAATAAAAATTGTCTCTTTTTGGCAGAGTGAAAAACCAGGAGTTCCAGTTTACACCCAACCCAACTGCAAGGTTTGCTGCATAAAACCTCAAATGAGCAAACGCCACATGTTTGCATTTGTTTGGTACCATAGAGGAAGATTTCCCTGGCATTTAATAGTTATAGAAATTTATGGCCACTTTCCTTTGATCCACATCTCCAAAAAAAAGTTTTTTTGTTTTTTTTTTTGCAGGAATTTGAAGGGTGCTAACAGTTTAATGGCTGTTTAAAAAAAACATTTACAAATGTGAGATTTTTTTCTCTCTTTTTCAGTTGAATAAAAGTCAGAATTTAGAAAATAAATCTGAGAATTTAAAAGATTATTTTTTTTAGATTTTAACTGAGATGCCAATAAGTTGGATTTCACCACATATGCATGATATGTACATTTTCTATTTTACTGAAACAGATAAATTTGTTCATAATAATAAAAAATGATAATAATGTTTATTTTACATTAATGCATGAAACATTTTGTGCTCAATTGATCCAAATGTACCAGATCTCCAGAGCTGATTTTCATCATTAGATGATTTTTTGTTCCTGTGGTCGTTTAAAGTCTGGTCAGCGATCAGGGGCGTGTTAGCATGCACGCGATGTACTTGAATGCCACACCAGCCTCTGCAGCTTCAAACAGGGCCTTGTGCTCCTGCAGACGCTCCCCGTTTCATTTACATCTCCAAAATGAGCTGATGCTTCATCCACAGCAGGATGCTGACACTGAGCAGCAGGAGTTTGGTTTCTCATTCAGGAACATATGGAGACATCAGAGTTTAATCTGGAACTTTCACATCTCTGGATGTTTCTATCCAGCGTTGTGCCGCCTGGCTGCTGCTGCTGCTGTGTGACATTTAGATGTGATTCTTTTGTAACGCTGATGGAGCCAAAGCTTGTCTAATCGAGGTTTGTGTGGATGACAGAGAGGAGGGGAATTTCTTTAAATTCAGACTACTGGTTTCACAACATGTGGTGGATTTAAATAACAAAAACATCCAAATTATTGAAGCAAAAAAAGAAAATGCAACAGAGAAGCTGTAGGGATGTCCTAATCAGGATTTACGCTGAAAGCTAATTAAAATTAGACTTTTTCTGATGCCACATGAGAAAATGCAGTTTTTACCCACCAGGACATTGATAAGGTTTCTACAAGGTTACAAACTTTATCTGAGATTTGGGTTTGGTTACATGATGTATGGCGTCATCTGCATAACGGTGCATTAATTTATTATTCTCTGCAAGGAAAAATAAATTAAGGCTAAAACTGGACTTGGTTGAAAATTAGAATAAAAAAAATGTCACATATAACTTAAAAAAGACTTAGACTAAAAAATAAAATAAAAAAACTTGTGTAACTTAAAAAAAACTCATGTTAAAAAGACTACTAATATCAGGCAAAAATGACACAAAATGCAACCAAGGCTCAAAAACATGCCTTACTTGAAGGGTGTCCAAAGTGCGGTCCGGGTGCCATTCGTGGCCCTTGGACTGATTTTGTCTGGCCCCCGACTGCAATTCAAAACTGGCACAAATTTGGCCTTTAGACGGAGATGAAAACTTTTAATTTGTAATCAAGCTAAAAACGGTCAACATTTTCTTACACAGGGAAATGCAAAATGCAGCATAAAGTATTCGTGTTTTTATAACCAAGTTTATCCAGAGACTTTTACTGAAAAGCTGCACAAAAATCAGCTTTTATTCTTTCTTAAACTCGGCTAAATATGGCAAGTGTTTTGAGAGAAAGTGACCCAAATCCTTTTTTTATTAGTGAAAATAAATTTATCCAATCGAGCCTAAAAGAAACTGAAAACTAGATGCCTCAAACATTTTCCAGAAAAAATTCTAATTTTTAGATTAATATCAGGAAGTTTCTATAAAAAAGTGTAATTTTCAAATATTAAAAATTAAAGATGTTAAAGATTAATCTCAAAATGTCAGTTTTTAGCAGATCTGTGCTCCTTTCTTCTGTCTGCAGCGGCTCTAACACACAAACGGTATTCATGTAATGCTTCCTAAAGAACCAGCCACGCAAAACCCAGGAAACCATTTTGTTTATTGGAAGACAATCTGAGAAACCAAAACAATAACACTGAATTATTTGACATCTCGCTTCTCAGAGTCGGAACAATTTCAGCCTGGAAAGTCGTCGATACGTTTCTCTCTGCTGCAGTCTGGAGAAAGTGCTTTGTTAGTTTTGGCACTTAGATAAACAAACTCAACTTTCCTCCAATGAGCTTCAAGTTTTCATGCTAACCTGTGTGATGCTACTGGATGCCTCCAGGTAAAATGACTGAAAGCTCACTTCTCTCTTTAGCCCTCTTGGCATTTTTTTAAATTATTTTATTTATTTTTTGACAGCTTTTTAAACACTTACAGTGCCTTATTCTTCAAATTATAAATATTTACAAGGTTTAGACTTTTAAAAGACAAAAAGTAAAAAATATCTTTATGTTTATTTAGGAGCGTAAATCAATTTATTTAATCACAGATGGGATCTCGTCTTTTTTACACAAAAATCTGGAACAACAACTAACGGATTTCTGTAACTACATTCTGAACAGAGCGTCACTTTTTTTAAAAACACCTTACAGGACATGACAAGGAATGGAATATTGCAGAGATTTAGATAGTAAAACTATTTAAATGAGCCATAAGGAGATGTGCAAAAGTTTTAAATCAATAATTTTCCAGCTTCTCTTCCAGTTTTTCATTTGATTATTTTTTTTCATTTTGATATTTCAGATTATGAAGGCAGCATATGGCAGAGTGCAGCCTTTGTTTTTGTTTGTTGTTAAAATTTTACTTTTATCCAATAAATTGAGCAATTTTTGTTGTTTTATTTTCTGTCATCTACAGAAAACTCTAAAAATTGTTGTTAAAATGAGGGAAAATGTGGCCAGAAATTTGAGGAAAACCTCAGAGAATTTGCAGAGCTGCTCATCCAAACCAGTTTAAAATGAAACAGAAACACATGAAATACGAAGAAATGGACCGAAATGAAGGGCGGTTCCAGAGCTTCTGCTCTTCCTGTCAGACATTTTTGGTTGATTGAATCTCAAGTCATGAACGTCGAAGCACTGTACAGCAGTAACACACACACACACACACACACACACACACACACACACACACACACACACACGTTTGCGTGGCTATCTTTGTGGGGACTTTCCATTGACTTCCATTCATTTCTACAGCCTAAATCTTACTCTTACCCTAACCCTTACCATTACATACCTTACCAAAACTCAACACCTTAGACCTAAATCTGACCCCTGACCCCAAAACAGCGTTTCCCCTTGTGGGGACCAGGCTCCGGTCCCCACAGGAGCAGTGGTCCCCACAATGTAGTGTCAGGAAAATGGTCCCCACAAGGTATGACAAACAAACGCGCACACACACATGCACACACACAGAGGATTTATAACAACACATTAAGTCAAAATAAATCAGACAGAATCAGTCCTCATGCTTAGTTTGTCATTCTGAATGTTCATTTTATAAAAAATAATTCACGTTAATCTTCATGGCACCCAAAGTCTTGATAAAACATTTTTGTTGAAGGTTTGCATCAGCGTCTTATTGGCTCATTGTGACCAGGCTGAGCCAATCACAGCCCAGGAAACGGGCTGTGCTGTCGGCTATTGCTTCATGGTGTTTTTGATGGTCCACTTCTGACCCGAGCAGGGCTGCAGGACCAGCAGGTGGCCAAAGTAAACGTTGGCCGGCACCACCTCCAGGCACCGACCCGTGGCCCGGTTTATGATGGAGTCGTTCTGCAGGAGCAGGACAGAGGAGTCAGGATGCGTCTTGGTTGATGTTAAAGGGAACCAATCAAAAAGCTGAATAGAGAATCCAAGTTATTAAAAAAATCCAAGTAGATGAAATCATGTAGCTTTTTCTGTGCAGCAACAAAAACCCTGCAATAATCACATTTATCATATGTTATCAAAAAGAGTTTGAAATTAGCTTTCAGATTATGAAATATTGATGCGATGGGAATATAATCAGCAAATCTGTAGAAAACGCTCTGATCCCTTTGGCTAATTATTAACTCGATCAGTTACTGGGGATATTATTATTATTACTTCAAAGAGGTACATCCAATGTTAATAAGTATATGATGCATAATTAGGATATTTTAAATTAATATACTCAAAGAGGGAACAACAGCAGGGAGTTCTTCCTGAGCTCCAACCGGTATCCGAGTCGGAGAAAAAAAAAAGAAAAATTTAGCTAAAATCAGCTAATTTAAATTTTCTGCAGGAGAAAAAAATAAAACAGCAGAATAATAAACTTTACTTTAACATCAGAATGGATGGAAGAATTAAATAGTTTCCTAAAACTTTGTTACGTTATTGGCCACAATGCCCAGATTCAAATCAAAAACATTTGATGTAAAAACAGAATGACCTCTGACCTTTTAGGAAGGAAGTAAAGTAAATAATAAGAGAACTGGGATGCACTGCAAAAACACAAAATCTTGAGAAATTTTGTGTATTTTCAAGTGTAAATATCTTAGTATACCTAAAACAAGACTAAACTAACTTACAACTAAGTTCTCAGCAAAAAATATGAGTTTGTTGTAAGTCAATAATTCCTTAGTATTGATGAAAAAAATATTAGTTCCATTAGCAGATTATTTACTTATAGCAAGACATTTTTCTCATAATTTAAGTAATCTGGCAATGGAAAAAGAACTTTTTCATCGATATTAAGGAATTATTTAATTAAACTCATATTTCTTGCTGAAAAGTTACTTGTAAGTTAGTGCATTTGAAATCAGACAAAACAAACATTTGCACTGGTAACTAGATCAAAAATACTTGGTAAGATTTTGTTTTTGCTGTGTGGGAGAACCAGAACCACCTGAAATAACAAATATTGGGGAAGACGTACACAACTTTATGTTTTTATTTGCAGTTCAGACTCTTCCCTTTTCCTCCCTGCTCACCTGGGAGAAGCTCCATGTCTTCTGCTTGGCGTTGGGCACCTTGTCACAGTTCAGGAGTTGGGGAAAGCTGCTGATCTGGTCGTCCACCACGCAGCGAGTGTCGTCTCCGGTGCTGCCCAGCGGACCCAAGAACAGCTGACCCTCTTTGGTGTAGCGTCCCAACTGAGCGAAGACAAGAAAAAACTCTTATAAAAAGGCAAAAATGAAGGAAAACTTTATTAGAACTGAAGTCCTGATGTTGAAACCTCTGCAATTTCAAAATATGAGAAGTTTTGGGCCATGACTGATTCTGACAGGAACTTCCTCTCATCATCCAGGCTAATTTTAGTTGCTTTAAGCAAAATGAGGTGTTGTTGTTCCGGAAGATGATGAGAAACTAAACAAATCTTTGTTTTCCACTGGCTTGTGTTGTGTTTCCTGTTAATTAGTGTTATCAGTTTCAGTCTGCTCTGTCCCAACCCACAGAAACTCCCAAAGCTGCTGCAAACAATTAAAGTTCTGATGTTTCCGTATAAAACATCAGAACGTAAAATCAAACAACGTAACATCAAAGCATCAAAAAGAGAAAGGAAAGCTGCTTTTATGTGCTCAGATTGTGTTTTCGCCTCAATAACTTTGAATTTCTCCATCTGAAATAAAGAAACCAAAGTTTTCTCCTAAACTCATTGCAAAAAGTTTTAAAATTCAGTTTTCTTAAAATGATTTTGGTGACACTTTTGGCCCTTTTACTTTATAATCCAACAGGATTATATGTGTAAGACATGTTGCGAGAGATTATGCCACTACAACAAAAAATAAATTTACTTTCATGCTTTTCACACATATAGGTCAAAAAAACTGTTTTATGAATATAGTCAACTTCAGATGTCTCAGTTATACAATATGATGATTTTGGAATAAAAATAATCCCAATGGATGAACGAAACATTTATGTTAGATTAAAGCACCGCCTGTTTTTATTTCAATGAATACACTATTCCTTCATGAAAGAGATTCCTTCATGCATTCAGGACCAAATCCAATTTTTCTGGTAAAAATAAACTTTTTTATTGCATTAGGCAAAAAAAAAAGAAAACCTGCATGAATAAATAAATTGCAAAACAAAATGAGGCTTGACCAAACTGAAACGATCCTTTAAATCTGTTGATCTTTGCACATTTCAGTGCTGCCCTGAGCACCTGTTTGTGGCTAAAACTGGAAGCCTGCAGAGTGAAGCAGCTCATGAGCTGACACCTGCTGACTCCGCACAAAAAAAGTGAAAGACAAACATTTTCCCTCTGACAGCAAAACTCAATCCAGAGAGACTTTCAGTTGAGCTTGTTTGACAAACACAGGAGGTTTTTAGTAGATTTCTTAAAGCTAACCTGTTATGCTTCCTTTGAAAGGTTAGGATTGGCCTAAACAAAGCATGTTCTTTACATTTTTTTGTACAAAGACTCTTCTATATTTAGGTTTTAATCTAATCAGTTTGGATTGTCTTGAGGCGTTTTAGGATGTTTTGTCACTTTAAGTCCAAATAAGCTGCTGCAGGCCACGAACCCCAAGTCAACGTTTACACTTGCAGGTGAAAATGACTGCAAACAGATGCACAATTAAACAACCGTACGTCTTTGAAAAGCAGATGTGGAGCCTCCTGCAAAACCAAACACGTGTCTTTTCTAGCAGACATTCTTAATCTTATTCGGTTTTATGCATGCACAGCTCTGGAAAAAATGAACAGACCACTTAAAATGATCAGTTTCTCTGATTTTACTTTTTAATGGTACATGTTTCAGTAAGATGAACTTTGTTCTTTTATTCCATGAACTACTGACAACATGTCTTTGAAATTCCAAGCAAACATTTTGTATTTATTTGCAGAAAATGAGAAATGGTCAAAATAATGAGAAGGATGCAGTGCTTTCAGACCTCAGATAATGCCAAGAAAACAAGTTTATATTCATTTAGAACGACAGTACAAATGTTTTAACTCAGGAATCAGTGTTAGGTGGAAAACCAGCAGGTTTCCAAAGGGCTTCAGTTCACTGGGCTCTTCATTTTTTCCAGAGCTGCATGAAGCACACATAAAACTTGATTTTTAAATTCTTTTTAACTTTGTAACTTTTATATTAAAAATGCTTTTTATTTATTATTATTCTTATTCTCTTGTTTTAGAAGAAGCTGCCTATATTGCACTGTAACATATTTATATTGATTTTACCTTGAGGGACTACAGATGTCATATTGTGTGATAACTAAACCACAACATAAACCACCCTGCACAACACAAACTGCGGTAAAACCAGCTGACCAAATGGGCTGGAACTCAGCTTAGGTTGCTAGGTAACGAGGGCCAGAGTTCCACTGGTGTTGCTAGGTAACTAGGGGGAAAGGCCAGAGTTCCACTGGGGTTGCTAGGTAACTAGGGGGAAAGGCCAGAGTTCTACTGGGGTTGCTAGGTAACTAGGGGGAAAGGCCAGAGTTCCACTGGGGTTGCTAGGTAACTAGGGGGAGAGGCCAGAGTTCCACTGGGGTTGCTAGGTATCGGGCAGTGCCTGCTGATTTGTGACGTTACATTCTGAAGGTTTCTGAAACGGCTCATTTTCTGATACCAAAAAACAAAAGCTTATTGTTAAATGAACACCTAGGTGTTTTTTTAAGCACTTAGGTTGTTTTTAGAATCAGTAGAAACTCAAAATGGAAGTACAAAAATGTTAAATAATACGTGCAGCTTAAAGAGACACAAACCATGTATTTATTTGTATTTTTTTTTAAAGCACACAGTATTTTACCTGAGGACCCCAGCCATGGCAGGGGTGAAGGGTGGCTGTGTGGTTTTCCTTCATACCCTGATCCATACACAGGTGGCTCACTTTGGAGTTACGGATCTGAGGGAAAAACAATAACACGTAAACTGTCAGCCAATCAGCACAGCTTTCTGAGAAAAATAAATCAGATTTTTTAGTTTCATCATTAAACTTTAATTGCACATTTCTACTCTCCCAATTAGAGGTTCTGTTTTATTTCTGAGATGCAGAAGCTTTGACCTCCATGTCAGTTTGACTGATGACCCAAAAATTTAACTCAAGTCAGAGTAGCAATACTTCAACATAATTTTACTCAAGTAAAAGTAAAAAATATCCATCCAAGAAATTACTCAAGGAAGAGGAAAAAGGTATTTGGTAAAAAATCTACTCAAGAACTGAGCAACTGATCAAATTATCAATCATTTAATACTCAAAAACTGCATCATCAGATGGGCCAAAATCTAAAGTTAAGTGGACATTTTGGTATTTTAAGAACCAAAATAACAATAATTCATAACAAAAAAAAAAAAAAAAATCAGGCAAAATTTTCCAAATCAATAAAAAACTTCTTTTCAAAAAAAAATTTTAAAAAAAACTCAAGGTG